GAAAGAAAGAAAGGAGGGAAGAAAGGAGGGAAGGAAGGAAGAAAGAGAAGGAAAAAGGAAGAAAGAAAAAGAGAAAGAAAGAAATGGCAAATGCTTGTTTTCTTACCTTCTCTTTCAGCCAGCACATGGGTTGTGATCTGATCCTGGTGGCAAATAAGCCACCTTGAAACTTTGAGGTAATGGTCTGCAGAAGAAGGAAGCATAGAAAAAGATAAAGCTTAGAACCAGCAGGTAGCATAATGGTTACATTGCTGGACTCCCATGTTGTTGAACATGCTTTGAGTCCTGGACCCAGTGGCTTAAAACTCACACTGGGCACAAGTGCATGTGTGCCCAAAATCCCAAGAGGAGAATGGAGGAGAAGGGACTGTGGTGTGACATGGCCAACTGCAGTTTGAGTCCTGGACCTGGCAGCTTGCTTTCTCACTTTCCCTCTCTTTCTCTCTCTGATGAGTGCACGTGCCCTATAGCAAAAGAAAATAATAATCAAATTAAATAAATAATTCTTTTTAAAAAGGATTATTATGCGGGCCAGCAGGTGACATAGAGGTTAAGATGCCAGATCCCACATGGCCAAAAACAAGGTTCAAGTCCTGGATCCAGTGGCCTGAAAACCACACTGGATATATGTGCATGCGTACACATCCAAAATCCCGAGAGAAGAACAGAGAAGGGATTGCAGGATAGCCATCCCCTGGGGGGTGATTTCTCGCTTCTCTCTCTCTGTCTCTCTGGTGAGCACACATGCCCTATAGTAGAAACAACAACAAATGATTACTAACTAAATGAGTTGATATTGCGAAGTGCTTAGAAGAGTGGCTTGTACTCAATTACGTGCCACATAAATGTTTGCTATAAATACTAACTATTATCTGTGCAGATCCAGGACATAACCAAGTCAGCAGGTGTTGGGTCTCCCTCTCTCCAGACATCATGTGGGTGCTGGTCCACTGTGGGCGATATCCTGCTGACTGGATGTAACCTGTACGTACATGTCTCCGTTTGTTCCTGGAACTGCAGCTACATCACACCTATGGATTAGGACCTCCTCTATCTTCCAGCTTTGCCTTCTGACCCTGGGGGCCCCAGGAGCTTCTGCCAACACCAGTATGACCTCCCAGTCCAAGACTATGGACTTGCAAACCCTTTCTCCACCAGTGGGAGCGACCAGGAGCAGAGGGGTTTCGAAATTCAAAGACACTCTATGAGTCAGTGCTGGGCGATCACCGTCAGACCAGTGCCCACGCCCCAACAACAAGGATAGATCAGGCAGAGTATTTGGGCTTCCTGAGAATAGGAGACCTTTCTGCCATGCTGAGCTAGCTAGCTGGATCTCTATGCTGTGATCAATGGTTTTCAACCTTTCTCTACTCCGTCACCCCCATTCTCCAGTTTACATTTCTGTAGTATAGGGAGTTGTGATCGGCAAAAAGCATCTAAGTGGTCCTATAGTGCTTCCTCAAGCGTCAGTTGACCAGATGCCTGCAGCCTATAGTCAGATACAAGGCCAAGGTTGAAATGCTGGTCCTCTTGCCCTCAATTCAGGCAGACATCCAACTCACCCTTTCCCATGCTCTGTTCTCATTGCCTTCCCTTCATCTAGAGAGAGAAGCACCCCCGGGGAAGGGGATACAAAGGGGCCTCAGGAGTCTTGTGGAGGACCTAGGATGACATACATACTCACCAGGGCCCAAGGATAATTGCCTCTCTCTAAACCTCCAAAGTCTGTGGCCCGGGGTAAATGCTCCAACTTGTGACATGTTACAGAGAACTCTGCTAACAACTGGGACCCTCCTCTGATACCCTGAAAATCCAAGGGTATTCTAAAGTTTGAGTCTTTTTAGGAGAGAAGCCTAGGGGGGCATGTCTGAGCTACGGTCCAATCTCTTAGAGGGCAAAGGAAACAAGGCTGAGTTCAGTATGGAAACAAATTGCTCTAAAGGTTAAGAGAAGAGAACCAGTTAAAGCCAAAAGACTCCTTAACTTTTCTGATCCAGGAGGACTTGGACGGCCATGTCTTCCACGTTGCCTAAGGATACATCAACGGAAGACTTGAAGGGAACATGGACTTCTTTTGAATACAAACACATAGATCAAAGGGCCAGGCAGTGGTGCAGAGGTAAAACATAATGTTCTACAAGGCAATTCCACATGGGCAGGTTGCCAGTTCAAGTCCAGAGACCTCCCTGAGTACACTGGGCACAATGCATGCCCATGATCTGGGGCCAGCTGGAGGCTGGGGAGAGGTCACAGCATGAGGACCCTGATGAGTGAGCTGTCTTTCTCTCTTTTTGCTCATGGAAGAAATAAACAAATAAACTCAAAGAATAGGTCTTTAAAAAAAAAAAAAAAAGGAAAGAAACGCAAAGGAGTAGTTCTACTGGTATGTATATCGCCCCCCAGAGGGCAGGGGCTGGTCTTGTTTTGTCTTCCCATTGCCCCAGGTCTTCCATCTTCTGCTGCTCACATTGAAGGTAAGTTGTCTCTTTCACTGAGGTGGAGAAAAGATCCCATTTCTTCTCTTTTAGGAAAAAGGCAGAGACATGCCAAGGAGTCGTGTTTTCTGTATGACAAATTGGGTGTCTGGAACAAATGATTCCCACCATAAAGGACGTATTTCTAGAAAACAGGCTCATTAAGTGCAGTCTCACCAGTAAACCCAAATGCAGAGCCCCAGGTCTGGGGTCAGGCTTAACAGCCCCTCAGGAAGAAATGATGGGACACTTGTAAGAACAGCTACTAAAGAGTGTCCAAAGTCTTAGAAAGCTGGGGACAATCAACTAACTGTGTCAAGGGAGGTTCAGACTCTCGGGTCTTCACAAGTCCAAGTCCTGCAGAGACAGGCCTGAGGAGACGTCTATTTCATTGGAGAATGGCAAGTCATTTTCATTAAAAGTACTATTAGGGGGGCAGCAGATGGCATGGTGGCTAAGGCGCTGGACTTCCACCATGGCCAACCACAGTTTGAGTCCCAGATCTGGTGACTTTCCTACTTTCTCTCTCTCTCTTTCTCCCTCTCTCTCTCTCATGAGTGCATGGGCCCTTCAGCAAATTAAAATAGAATAATAATAAAGTTAAATAAAATAATTATTTCTAAAATAATAAATAAATAAATGCACTTTTCCATTTATGGGCCAGACTTGGCACAGTGGTAAAACATGAGCCTCTGCGAAGTTGACCCAAGGGGGAAGGTTGCTGGTTCATACCTGGAGACCTCCCTAAGCACACAGGGTCTATACACGTGCCCACGATCCAGGGCTGGCTAAAGCTGAGGCAGACATCAAGACCCTGTTGGGGGTTCTGTCTGTCTCCCTTACTCATGGAAGAAATGAATAAACTTAAAAAAAAAACAACTTTTAAACATGGGAAAGAACACACATGACTTTTCTGACAGCAATAGCAACGAGCCAAGTTTAGCAACAGGAATAAAACAAGGTTGTCCATTGACCTTGAATAATTCAGACAGTCAAGTGCACATTTCACAGATAAGATTTTATTAAAATCCTATATGGACCTCATATTTAAGTTGAAAAAGAAGGACATCTTTTGTTTCCTAGTATCAAAATAGTTATCTTCTTAAAATATCTTGAAAAACTTTAATACAAGTATTTCATTATATATTAAATATTTTCCTAAAATCTTAGGCATTTCTCCCCCTACCTCTCTCCCGGAATTTTCTGCTACCATCACTACCACCTCTGCTTCTCTCTGTCTTCCTTTCTTTTCTGGTTTCTTTAATGCTCATCCTGGAGAAGCAAAAAAACAAACAAAAAAAAACAACAACAAAAAAAAAGACTTTCCTGTTTCATGTATTTTAAAAAGAAACAAAGAAAGAATGAAACCAATGATGGTATTTGATATGATGCTGACCCTTCTCATTAACTAGGCTCTACAGCCCATGCACTCAGATTGGCTCATATCCAAATGACTTTAGTTCAGGTAGTCAGGCCCTGGGGTTAGGGAATTTGAACACAATAGTGAATTCTTACCCTGAAATGGGGATGCTGACCCAACAGCACCCTCTAGTGGCCTGACTGTCTTAGAGCACCCAACAATACCGGAAGGTCGATGTTTGGGATCTAGGCTATTACTTCAGGTGCTGGAAGTCTAGACATGAAGACATAAAAAAAAAAAAAGGGGGAACAAGCAGTTACGGT